CGCAACCTCCACAGCCACCGCTTCGCCTCCCCGCTCTCCGGCAACCAGGTACCCACCGCGGATCGCCCCCGAGCCCCGGGCTCAGCGCCTTTCCCCTTGTCACCGCCCCTGCCCGGTCCCCTGAGTCCCTGCTGGGTTCGCCCAGGCTCTACCAATCCCGATTGGGTCCCCCTTGTCCCTGGCACTCCCACCTTGTTTCCTAGTTCAGACTGGGTTCCTCTTGTCCTCCATGTCTCTAATCAGCCCTGCCTTGTTCCCCAGGCCCTACCAGGTTCTTTCTCCAGGTCCCTACCAGTCTCTCCTTTTTTCCCCGTTCTCCTTGTGCCTACCAGTCCCAACTGAGTTCCCCTTGTCCCCCATCTCCCTACCAGTTCTGTCTTGTTCTCCAGTCCAGACTGGGTCCCCCTTGTCCCCCATGTCACTGCCAGCCCCATCTTATTCCCCAGTCTCTCCTGGATTCTCCCTGTCCCAACCAGGTCTCTCATTTCCCTTCCTTGTGCCCTGGCCCCAGTCATGTCCCATATGCCCTCACCAGTCCCACCTTGTGCTTCAGTTCAGATTGGGTCCCTCTTGTCCCCCATGTCCCTACCAGCACTGCTTTTTCCCCTGGTCCCAGCTGGGTCCCTATCAGTCCCACCTTGTTCCCCAGTCTGTACTGGTTCCCCCTTGCCCTGCCAGTGCCTGAATCCCAACCAGACCCTCCAAGTCCCAATAACTATGTCCTTCCCACCCCTAGGCCCAGCCCCTTCTTCTGCCCACCCCAAGGTGCGAGTCCCTCCCCCCTTCATCCTGGCCCCCAAAATGAGCTGTTCTTCACCCCCAGGAGGTGAGTGCATTTGGGGAGGCCGGCGAGGGTGACTACCTGGACGACTGGACAGTGGTGTGCAGCGGGACCTACTGGGTGCGGGATGACGAGGTTCGCTTCCAGCACACCTCCACCGACGTCTTCCTCTCGGTGACGGGGGAGCAGTATGGGCGGCCCATCCATGGGCAGAAGGAGGTGCATGGCATGGCCACGTCCAGCCAGAATAACTACTGGAAGGTGATGGAGGGCATCTTCATGCAGCCCGGCGAGGCCTTCAAAGCAGAGCGGTACCACGCTGAGTTGTGAGGGACAGACAGACTGATGCTGAGACTGGGTGCTGCCCTGCCATGTTTGGGACCACTGAACCCAGGGGATGGCTTCTGGGACCCACCTGGGACTGACACACACCAGGACAGAGCTCCAACACAAAGCAGATCCCAGTGTCCTGAATTCGATGTGGAGCAGATTCCAGTGTCCCTAATCTGAGATGAAGCAGGTCCCAGGATCCAGACCTGACCCAAAGCAGAGCCCAACACAAAGCCCTGACACAAAGCAGGTCCCAACATCCCAAATCCAGCACAAAGCCAAGCCCGACATCCAGACCCAACCCCAGAGCAGAATGACAAACTCACCCTGTCCCTTGCAGCCCCCTTATCCGTCCAAGGACTGCTGTCCCCAGGAACTGTACACCCCTGCTGTACCCCAAACCACTCTCCGTATCCTGCGGGGACCTGGGACCATAAAAGTGCTGAACCCTGCGCTGTGGTGTGACTGTTTGTGTGGGGGATGCAGAGAATAGCCCGGGGCTGGAGGCCAAAACTGGTGTCACCTCCTCGCCCCATTTTGGTACCTAGACCCAGCGTCACCTCTCTCGCCCCATCCAGTGCCGGACCCAATGTCACTCGCCCCCTCTCCCCATCCCGGTGTCACCTCCTTCACCTCATCCCAGCATCAGCCCTAATGTCACCCCCTGCCC